CAGGCTTTCAAAGTGGTCATTGGATTTCAGGCTCCTGTATGTGGCTAGGCTCCCAAGACGTGTCACACATGTGGTATCCTCATACTCGGTAGAAGTAGCAGAATGTATTTTGAGGTGTAATTCCACATATACCCATGGCTTGTGCAAGAAATAAATCATTTAAATGACAATTTTGTGTAAAAAAAAAAAACAAAAAAAAAAAATTTTTTGTCATTTTCCAGAAACTTGTGGAAAAAAAAAATAAATCTTCCATGGACAATATGTCTCTCAGCAGATAGCTTAGGGTGTCTGCTTTCCGAAAAGGGGTCATTTGGGGGTGTTTGTTCTATCCTGGTATTTTAGCACCTCAAGAGATGTGATGGGCGGTCAGAAAGTAAAGCTGTGTAAATTTCAAATGATCTATACCATAGTTTGTAGACGCTATAACTTTCACACAAAGCAATCAATATACACTTTTTGTTTTTTTTTTTTTACCAAAAACATGTAGCAGAATACATTTTGGCTTAAATTTATGACTAACTTTGAGTTTACGATATATTTTTTATAGCTGAAAGTAGAAAATATTGTTTTTGTTCAAAATTTTTGTGTTTTTTTTTTTTATAGCGCAAAAAAATAAAAAGCGCACAGGTGATAAAATACCACCAAAAGAAAGCTTTATTTGTGTGAAAAAAAGGACGTAAATTTCGTTTGGGTACAGCATTGCATGACCGCGCAATTATCATTTGAATTAGTGCAGCGCCAAACAGCAAAAAAAGGCCTGGTCATTAAGGGGGTAAATCCTCAGGAGCTCAAGTGGTTAACCACACTCCAGTCCGGACTCTTTTACCCGCACTGGGACCATGAAAGGCTTTCCAAATAGATAAAATGAGAGAAAATGAATGTTAAAAAAAATAAACAAAGCCCCAAAAAAAAAAAAAATTTGGTAACATCCATTTATCTCATGTCCAGTACTACATAGTCATGCTGAAAGACGCACTTTGCAGAGGTAAGCCTTGAACCTACGACCATGCACTCTTTGGACGGGCACTCTCCTACTGTGCTATGTCTGTTACCAGGTATAGACTCTGTCAAACTGACCCTTGTTTTCAAAAACTGCCAACTGTCACCTGCCCAATGTCAAGTAGCTATAGTGCAGTGCTTAACCGCTTCCATACCGGGCACTTTTACCCCCTTCCTGCCCAGGGCAATTTTCAGCTTTCAGCGCTCTCACACTTTGAATGACAATTGCGCGCTCATACAACATTGTACCCAAACTAAAATTTGACCATTTTTTCACACAACTAGAGCTTTCTTTTGGTGGTATTTAACCACTTGAGCTCCTGAGGATTTACCCTCCTTAATGACCAGGCCTTTTTTTGCTGTTTGGCGCTGCACTAATTCAAATGATAATTGCGCGGTCATGCAATGCTGTACCCAAACGAAATTTACCTCCTTTTTTTCACACAAATAGAGCTTTCTTTTGGTGGTATTTTAACACCTGTGCGCTTTTTTTTTTTTGCGCTATAAACAAAAAAACCACAAAAATTTTGAAAAAAAAACAATATTTTCTACTTTCAGCTATAAAAAATCTATCGTAAACTCAAAGTTAGTCATAAATTTAAGCCAAAATGTATTCTGCTCCATGTTTTTGGTAAAAAAAATCCCAATAAGTGTATATTGATTGCTTTGTGTGAACGTTATAGCGTCTACAAACTATGGTATAGATACTGTAATTTATGCCTTTTTTTGCTATACAGCACTGCACTAATTCAAATCATAATTGCGCGGGCATGCAATGTTGTACCCAAACGAAATTTACGTCCTTTTTTTCACATAAACAGAGCTTTCTTTTGGTGGTATTTTAACTCCTGTGCGCTTTTTATTTTTTGCGCTATAAACAAAAAAAATCACAAAAAGTTTGAAAAAAAAAACTATATTTTTACTTTCAGCTATAAAAAATATATCGTAAACTCAAAGTTAGTCATAAATTTAAGCCAAAATGTATTCTACTACATGTTTTTGGTAAAAAAAAAAATCCCGTGCATTAGCGGGAAAGCTGGCGCTATATGGGAGAGGCGCTAACACTATCGGAAGTCACCAGTGACACTAATACAGTGATCTGTAAAAATCTGTTTCACTGTAATCAATGACATTGGTGACAGGGCAGTGAAGGGGTTAACTCGGGGGGGGGCGATCAAGGGGTTACATGGGATTACTGGTGTACTGGCGGGCAAACTGGCGCTATCTGGGAGAGGGTGCTAACACTATTGGAAGTCGCCAGCGACACTGATACAGTGATCAGTAAAAATCTGTTCACTGATCAATGACACTGGTGATAGGGCAGTGAAGGGGTTAACTCGGGGGGGGGGGCGATCAAGAGGTTAAACGGGATTACTGGTGTACTGGCGGGCAACCTGGCGCTATCTGGGAGGGGCGCTAACACTATCGGAAGTCGCCAGCGACACTGATACAGTGATCAGTAAAAAAATCGATTCACTGATCAGTGACTGGTGACAGGGCAGTGAAGGGGTTAACTGGGGGGGGGGCGATCAAAGGGTTAAAAAGGATTACTGGTGTACTGGCGGGCAAGCTGGCGCTATCTGGGAGGGGCGCTAACCCTATCGGAAGTCGCCAGCGACACTGATACAGTGATCAGTAAAAATCGGTTCACTGATCAGTGACACTGGTGACAGTGCAGTGAAGGGGTTAACGGGGGGGGGGGGGGTAATTTAGGGGTTTAACGGGATTACTGGTGTACTGGCGGGCAAACTGGTGCTATCTGGGAGGGGCGCTAACACTATCGGAAGTCGCCAGCGACACTGATACAGTGATCAGTAAAAATCGATTCACTGATCAGTGACTGGTGACAGGGCAGTGAAGGGGTTAACTGAGGGGGGGGGGGCGATCAGAGGGTTAAATGTGACCTAGGTGTGTTCTAACTGTAAATGTGTAGTGTTTTACTCACTTTTACTGTTTCTTCTTCTCTGTCTGGAACGGAATGTGTCCAGGCAGACAAGAATGACATCATATCTGTCCTGTGTAAACTTCAACACAGGACAGGATAGGACAGGGGACCGATCATGTGATTTCAGCCTGGCTGACATCACTTCGAATGGTGTCACCCGCGGGTTGGCGGGAGTTAGCGCGCGCGAGCGCCCCCTGCCAGCGAAAACGTCGGGAGCGCGGAACCAGTTTTAAAAACGTGGTTTTGCGTCTGAGTGCCGCCCTGCACACGTATATATACAGTGGCAGGGCGCAAGCGGTTAATCACCACTGGGGTTTTTATTTTTTGCTAAATTAACAAAAAAAAGACCGAATTTTTTTTTTTAAAAAAAAAACAAGTTTTTCTTTGTTTCTGTTATAAAAGTTTGCAAATAAATTATTGTTCTTCATAAATTTAGGCCAACATGTATTCTGCTACAAGTCTTTGGTGAAAATAACCCTAATTAGAATGTATTTTTTAGTTTGTAGGAAAGTTATAGAGTTCACAAACTATGGGATAGATCTGAAATATTAATCAATCCTGAAGTACTGACGGCCAATCTAATATCTTGAGGTCCCAGAATGTCAGAACAGTACAGATATCCCCAAATGACCCCTTTTTGTAGAGTAGACAGTCTGACGTACTTCATAAGAGGCATGGCGAGTTTTTTGAAGTTGTATTTTTTTTTGTCATAATTTTTTCAGAAAATGAAAAAATGCAAAAAAAAATAATTTTCACAATTTTTTTTTTTACATACTGTCACCAGTGCAGTACAGCATCATCATATTACTGGCATGGCGTTGATCAGGGACACTGACTGGTGACAGTATGAAAAAAAAAAATATTTTTTTTTTTCTTAAATTTTTTTAAAATTTTTTTTATTATTTTTAATTTTTTATTAAATTTTTTTTTTTTTTTTTTATGATTTTTTTTCATATTTCATTATGTCCAAAATATTACAATGTTACCATGGTAACATTGTACTACTTTGGGGAAGTGATCAGTATTTTTTTTTTTTTTTTACCCAATTTGCTTATAGCAAATAATTACTTTGCTATAAGCAAGTATTTACCTGAATGACATCGATTCATTCAGGTTTTTTTTTTTTTTTTTTTTTTTGTGCTTAGCTGTGATTTGGCCACAGCTAATCACATGACATGTGCAGGTGATCTCTGGGACCATTCTCAGCTAGACACTAGTATACAATTAATGGCATGAATGAAGCCATCCATTGTATACAACTGTTATGTGACCTGCTGTGATTGGTCACAGCAGGTCACATGGCACGGCAACGGGGGCCGGTACTCAGATCTGTCATAGGCCGTGTCCAGGTACACTGTCGGTGACAGATCGCGCCACTGCGATCTAGAGCGTTTTCCTGGCCGCCATTCGGCTGTTGGCCAGGAGGGAAGTGGTTAACCTCTTCAGCCCCAGCCACTGCATATGTACGTTTTAAAATGTAGTTTTGCAAAAACAGGTAAGGGGCCCTACCTGTCCTCGCGGGTGTCAGCAGCGGGTCTCCGCCGCCGGGTCACGGCCGGTCATTACCAGCCGTTTCCCCGCGATTCGCGGTGATCGCTGACAGCTCATGACAAGCTGAAGAGGGAGAGAAGAGTTTCTCTCTCTGGATCAGCCTGTCCCTGTCCACACCCCCGCCCCCTAGTAAAACACTCCCTTCACACAGTAAACCCTAAAAATGTTAACCCCTTCCTCCCCAGGGCCATGAGTACAGTGTCAGTGGGGTTTTTTTCACTGATCACTGTATTGGTGTCACTGGGGATGTCAGTGACCCCAAGGCAGTTCCCCCCCAGTGTCAAAATGTCCGCCGCAGTCCCGCAGTCCTGCCATAAGTCGCTGATCGCCGCCATTATTAGTATAAAAAAACCCAGTATCTTTCCCGCCATTTGTAAACGTATATATAACATTCATGTAAACCAATTACCGTATTTTTTGCTCCATAAGACTCACTTTTTTTCCCCAAAAAAAGGGGGGGAAAATGTCAGTGCGTCTTATCGGGAGCGAATATAAAGCGGCCGGTCTGGTATTTCTGCCGCCACCATGTCAGAATACCGGGCCGGCCGCTCAGCTGTTCTCTCCTGCAGGGCCTTACCTGTTCCTCGCTCCAGCGCTGTACAGTCTTCCCGCGCTGGCTTCTGTGAGCCAGCCGGGTGCCCACTGCGCATGTGCTGCGCTTTGTGAATGATACGGTGTCTTCTGGGACACATGACAGGTCCCAGAAGGCGCCGGGCAATTCACAAAGCACAGCGCTTCTGTACTGCAGTCTCTGGTCATCCCCTGCACTGTGTCCGCAGTCTCTGGTCATCCCCTGCACTGTGTCCGCAGTCTCTGGTCATCCCCTGCACTGTGTCCGCAGTCTCTGGTCATCCCCTGCACTGTGCCCGCAGTCTCTGGTCATCCCCTGCACTGTGTCCGCAGTCTCTGGTCATCCCCTGCACTGTGTCCGCAGTCTCTGGTCATCTCCTGCACTGTGGTCCGCAGTCTGTGGTCATCCCCTGCACTGTGTCCGCAGTCTCTGGTCATCCCCTGCACTGTGTCCGCAGTCCCTGGTCATCCCCTGCACTGTGTCCGCAGTCTCTGGTCATCCCCTGCACTGTGTCCGCAGTCTCTGGTCATCCCCTGCACTTTGTGCGCAGTGTCTGGTCATCCCCTGCACTGTGTCCGCAGTCTCTGGTCATCCCCTGCACTGTGTCCGCAGTCTCTGGTCATCCCCTGCACTGTGTCCGCAGTTTCTGGTCATCCCCTGCACTGTGTCCGCAGTCTCTGGTCATCTCCTGCACTGTGTCCGCAGTCTCTGGTCATCTGCTGCACTGTGACAAGTCTGAAGTCCGCAGTCTCTGGTCATCTCCTGCACTGTGTCCGCAGTCTCTGGTCATCTGCTGCACTGTGTCCGCAGTCTCTGGTCATCTCCTGCACTGTGTCCGCAGTCTCTGGTCATCCCCTGCACTGTGTCCGCAGTCCCTGGTCATCCCCTGCACTGTGTCCGCAGTCTCTGGTCATCTCCTGCACTGTGTTTTTTTTTTTCCGCTGTCTCTGGTCATCTCCTGCACTGTGTCCGCAGTCTCTGGTCATCTCCTGCACTGTGTCCGCAGTCTCTGGTCATCCCCTGTACTGTTTCTGCAGTCCATTGGTTCAGAATATTTTTTTTTCTTGTTTTTCGCCTCTAAAACCTCGGTGCGTCTTATGGAGCGAAAAAATACGGTAATTTACACGTATTGGGATTTTTTTTAGCAGAGACATGTCGCAGAATGCATTTTGGATGAAATTTGTGACTAAATTTGATTTTTTAATTTTTTTTACTGGACATGTTTTTATAGCAAAAAGTCCAAAATATTGTTTTTTTTCCTCAAAATTGTCAGCCTTTTTTTTTATAGCGCAAAAAATTAAAAAACGCACAGGCGATCAAATACCACCGAAAGAAAGCTCAATTTGTGGGAAAAAAAGGATGTAAATTTAATTTGGGTGCAGTGTTGCATGACCGCGCAATTGTCAGTTAAAGTAACGTAGCGCCGTAACACAAACCTCCTCTGTAACCGCTTCCTGACCACCCTACAGCAGAAATACTGCCACAGGGCGGCATGGGTACGCAAAATCACACACACACACACCACACATATATTTATACAGTCATGGCCGAAATTGTTGGCAACCCTTGATATTTTTCCTGAAAATCAAGTATTTCACACAAAAAAGGTATTGCATTAACACATGTTTTGCTATACACATGTTTATTCCTTTGTATGTATTGGAACAAATATAAAACAGAGGCAGAAAAGCAAATATGACATAATGTCACACAAAACCCCAAAAATGGGCTGGACAAAAGTATTGGCACCCTTAACTTGTATTTGGTTGCACACCCTTTGGAAAACATAACTGAAATTTCAGTCGCTTCCTATAACCATCAATAAGCTTCTGACACCTCTCTCACCCGGAATTTTGGACCACTCTTCCTTTGCAAACAGCTCCAGGTCTCTCTTATTGGAAGGACACCTTTTCCAAACAGCAATTTTAAGATCTCTCCACAGGTGTTCAATGGGATTTAGTTGGGCTCATTGCTGGCACTTCAGAACTCTCCAGCGCTTCTTTGCCATCCATTTTGAGTGCTTTTTGACGTATGTTTGGGGTCATTGTCCTGCTGGAAGACCCAGGATCTTGGACGCAAACCCAGCTTTCTGACACTGGGCCCTACAGTGCGACCAAAATCCTTTGGTAATCCTCAGATTTCATGCCTTGCACCACAGTCAAGGCACCAGTGCAGAGGCAGCAAAACAACCCCAAAACATCATTGAACCTCCACCATATTTTACCGTAGGTACTGTGTTTTGTTCTTTGTAGGCCTCATTCCGTTTTCGGTAAACAGTAGAATGATGTGCTTTACCGAAAAGCTCTATCTTGGTCTCATCTGTCCACAAGACGTTTTCCCAGAAGGCTTTTGGCTTACTCAAGTACATTTTGGCAAACTGTAGTCTTGCTTTTTTATGTCTCTGTGTCAGCAGTGGGGTCCCCTGGGTCTCCTCCTGCCATAGCGTTTCATTTCATTTAAATGTCGACGGATAGTTCGCGCTGACACTGATGCTCCCTGAGCCTGCAGGACAGCTTGAATGTCTTTGGAACATGTTTGGGGCTGCTTATCCACCTTCCGGACTATTCTGCGTTGCAATCTTTCATCAATTTTCCTCATCCGTCCACGACCAGGGAGATTAGCTACAGTGCCATGGGTTGCAAACTTCTTGATAATGTTGCGCACTGTGGACAAGGGCAAATCTAGTTCTCTGGAGATGGACTTGTAACCTTGAGATTGTTGATATTTTGCCACAATTTTGGTTCTCAGGTCCTCAGACAGTTCTCGTCTCCTCTTTCTGTTGTCCATGCTTAGTACTCCATGTTGGCACAGACAGACCACAATGCAAAGGTTAAGTGAACGTCTCTCCTTTTTATGCTGCTTTCAGGTGTGATTTCTATATTGCCCACACCTGTTACTTGCCCCAGGTGAGTTTACAGGAGCATCACATGCTTGTAACATTCTTATTTATCCGCAGTTGTGAAAGGGTTGCCAATACTTTTGTCCAGCCCAATTTTTGGAGGTTTGTGTGACATTATGTCGAATTTGCTTTCTTTCCTCCCTTTTTTTGTTTTGTCCCAATACACACAAAGGGAATAAACATGTGTATAGCAAACATGTGTTAATGCAATACGTTTCGTGAGAAATAACATTTCCTGGAGAAATATCAAGGGTGCCAACAATTTCGGCCATGACTGTATATATATATATATACGTGATTTGCGCTCCCGTGGTTTTCACACCCCTCCCAGATAGCGTCAGATTGCCCGTCAGTACACACCAGTCATCACATTTAAACCCTTGATTGCCAGGAGCACGCTCATGTACAATTAAACTCCTCCATTGCTAGTATAGTGTCTGAACGGGTCAATATCTTTGATCAGGTCAGCACTATACCAGCGTTCACATTAGTAAAGCGTCCCCAAAAACGCAGCGCTAGCGGGATCAGCCCCGACACTGCCAACACCTGCGTTTAGCCCCTACGCTTACCCCCCCCTTCTCCCCCAGCAAGTGCAGTGTCAGTAGGTCACGGTTACTTGATACATTGCACACAAAACCGCAGTGTTCGCAGAATCAGGCCTGATCTCTGTTAGCACTTGTCGGTACATTTTGATGACTCTCACATGCAGCAGAGTGCCAGTACTAGTGCCGCGCTACCTTTTGGTGAACTGTCGAGTACCAGCGGTCTAGTACATACTGATCTTTCACATACCTCCTTGATTTTTGGAGCTGTTTTTCACGGAATATCTGTATGCGGTGATTGTGGATCAAAGCAGTTTATATGCACAAACAATTTATTGCCGCCAACCCAAATTCAAACCTTGCCAGACCATTCGCATGGAAACTCATTACGGTTTTCAAATTTACTTTTTTTTGGGCCTAACCCTCAACATGGGCATTACTAAAAGAAATGAATTGCGGTTGTATTGGTCCGCAGACCCGATTCATCATATGCCGTGTTCTCTGCTGCCATGGCCCGGCATAGATATGAGAGTATAATGTGTTTTATGCATTTCAGCGACAATACACTCTGTCATCCTCAGGGTAACCCTGAATTTGACCAGCTCCACAAAATTCAGCCCCTCGCAAATCACCTTAACCTAAAATTTGCAGATGTCTATACTCCCCAGCAAAACATCTGCGTTGAGGAGTCCCTTATTAATTTTTCTGGCCGTCTTGCATTCAAACAATTTCTCCCCTGCAAGCGTGCCAGATATGGGGTCAAGATGTAGAAGTCACAAAAATATAGAGCAGAAACAAGCCACCTAAAATGACACGAATAACTAGTGTCATTATCATATCTCCGACTCACTTGTATAAGTGTGGATCCATAAACCCAAAGAAATGCATACTAAACAATTATGGTAGTGTGACAAGAGCACCCCTACCTGAAAATAGAAGGTTACTAAATGATCCACGCGGAGTAATATGAATTCAAAAAATTCAGACAATACTTTATTTGATCACATAGATCATACGGAGGTTAAACATGAGCACGGTGAACATGTCAAACAATTAAAATCATGTTTAAAATGCACTAGGCGTCTTCATTGTAGGGTCATTATAGCAAGTAGGGCACCATATATGGCGATGTAGGGTAGTGGTGAGGTAATACTCCTAGATTTCCATGGATTTCCAGCTTATATTGGAGTAGGCCATGTATACAGCAGATATATTCCCAATATACGTCAGGAACCTCCTGGTATGTGAGAGCTGGAACACAGATAATACACAATATATGTATGAGAATATAGGAGTTAAATCACTCCTGGTCTCACCACACCTCCCTCTCTACCAAAAAATGGACACTTCAATTACTTCTCAGTTGTAAGACTGTCATACCCGCTTTCACAATATATAGGGACCTCCTGGGTAACCACCCAAGTGAAACAATGTCCACAGTACCAAATGATTCTGGGGATATATATATAAAATGAATGTAAGTATATAAATCATAGGCATCAAGTGAACCCTGAAAACAAAAAACATAATATGGGTATATTACCATCAATGAAGATCAAGAAGACACCCGTCGACTTGAAATAAGATCAGGTCCTTGATGCTTGTACAGAGGTGCATGTGGGGGTGGGAAGCCAGGTAGTCACAGTACGTAAATTCCAGACACATATACTGTGTATGCAGCAGGCCGTGAGAACCTGAGTCTATATACCCAATGGAGGGTTTCCAAAAATTACTCAATCAAAGAGAATTGAAGCGGTTTCATTAGGATTGGCTATGTCACAGCATACAATGCCTAAATAGGGTAGCGTGTATATATATATATATACAGGTTATCCTCATAAAGAGGATTTCAAAACATTCCCCGTGTGCACAGGGTAAATAGGGCCCACATGAGATACCTTCTAAACTCCATATATGCTCTATAAATCTAGACAGCTATAAGCTTAAATAACTTGCCACCGGTGGAAGATATATTCCCTAGGGGATTGCCGTTTGCAGACCGCTGTAATAGTAGCCTTATGGTAGTTTTTTCAGAGGGCCTCATGCCTTCCTA